GTTGGTTCGCTGGATCGGCCAAGCGGGCCTGCACGTGGCTCCAGCGTCAGCCTCACCATCGCACAATTCGCCGAAACATCGTCAAATCAAAACAACAGGGAGATATTTTAGGTTGCATTCGAGATTTCAAGGCTAGTCAATGTACACATGAGCATTTGGCCCCTGACCGTAGAGTAGCTGGCTGCAGCTTGATGCCGACGAGAACGTTCACCTTGGGACTTTGGCTGCCCACGTACCTGCCCGACACTGGCAACTCGCCGGTTGCACATGTGAGGGCCGAGTTTGATGAGGAAAGGACAGACGAATCGCTTCCAGAAAAAATTCTGAGGCTGCCGAGGTTGGAGGGTCCTTCCCAAGCCGGCAGTCTCGTCATTTTCGTGCTGACCTGTCGCCTGTGATCGGCTGGACCGAAATCATGTTGTCGTCGGTACCGTGTGTATCATCTACATCTCTAACTACATGGCTTTTGGCAGTGATCCAAGGTGCGGTGGATAGCAAGCAAGATATGACCGCTAGACACCCGCAGCCCTCGCAGACAAGTTCTAACCTAGCTAGGTAACCATGGCTTGACCGCTTTTTCAAACGATTCCCATGATGATGATGATGGAACGGGAAATCGCTGTCAGGATCAGCATACGACTGCTCCCCCGGGGAATTATCGGCACGAGTTGGACGGACTAATTACCGATACAAACAGAATGTCAACACAGGGAAGCCAACGTAAATCGTACACTCGCGAATCGGAAGTCTCTCTGGCCTCACCGCTATTGCTGGCCCGAAGGATGGAAAGAGGACGAAGGAATGTGGGCCGCGGCCCACAAACACTCCTACATTCAGTACCTCTACCTGCGGTATTCGTAGGTCCGGGACATAATGCTCGATATGAGTGCCTTGTTTATGGCCCATGTGTTGTCTGATACCTGCGGCATCGCGGCGCTGAAGGATTTTTCTCGAAGCCTTCGCAAACCACAATCGAGCCGAGAAGCCCGAGTTACAACCCACTTTGGGTTGTTTGCTTGGGTACGATGGCAATAGAGCATGTGTAGGTATTGACTGAGGCCCGTTCTCACCAAGAATCTCTGCTTACCAGAGCCCAAAAATTAGAACTCGCCGCACCCAACTTAAAGCAATTTTTGATTGTACAGTAAGATTATGAAAGAAAACGAGTTCTTTAACAATGTACAATAGGTACCCAGCCAGCAGTATTAGATTCTATACCCCGAGATTCCCATTCTGCGCGAGATCAAACCGAAAGACACCCGACTTGCCTTTAACCACCCCGTCCCCCTTCCTCACACCCCATGATACTCTGAGTGGTACACAATCCACTTGCCCACACCCCACCCACAACCATATACGACAAGGACCTACACCTGCCCCTCCCCAACCCTGCTACCCTCCTTCTTCCCCCCCTCCGAGTCCCCCTCCCAAAACTTACGCGCCTTACTCTCATCCCTCCCCTTGACCAACCCAACCAAATCAAACGGATCCAAAACCGTCACCCAGACCGGCCGCCCATCCTTGTACCCCGGCCCCATGATCTCGGTCGCCCCGTCCGCGGGCGAGAGATACACCTTGACGCTCTTGGGCAGGTACCGCCTCGGATGCCGGACGTTGAACAGCACGTGGTTGACCAGCATGAGGCTGGCCTCAAACACCCAAAAGAACCACTCGTACCGGATCGCGGGCGAGAGGTCATCGGGGTCGATATCGCCCGAGTAGAAATCGTGCTCGGCCACGGTCCAGTACTCAGCCACGCGGAAGACGGTGCGCGCGGTGATGAGGAGGGTGGACGCGTACAGCGTGTAGAGCGGGGCGAGCAGGGCCGGGTTGCGCAGGCCCGCGCGCAGGCAGCGCCGGTGGAAGGTGACGGCGAGCAGGACGAAGCAGGCCAGCACGGCCAACTGGATGACAAGCGCGGCCTTGAGCAGGGACCGGCCTATCTCCTGGAGGTTGGCCGGCAGGGACATGTTGGCGACGTGGGCGGCGCCGGCGCCGTTGAGGGACTCGACGACGAAGGAGATGAAGGCGAAGGTGGTAATGACGCGGCCCGGGTGGATGGGCGAGTGGTAGGGCGCGTAGTACAGGATGCGGCCGAGGATGGTGTAGTTTGCTAGCGCGACGAGCGGGCTGGTAGGTGTGGTGTGTTAGTCACTGAGTAAGGTAGGTAGGTGCTTGAGCTGCAGGGAGGGGGGAAAGACGACTTACGGCGCGGCGTAGATCACGCAGGTGCTGACGATGAACTTGACGAGATCGCTATAGTCAAAGGCGCCCACCTCGCGGACTATGAAGCCTACGGTGAAGAGGAGGGAGCAGATAACGTAGAGGCCGGTGAGGCGCCAGCTGTTGTAGTGGCTGGTTTGTGTCAGCTTCTGTGTGGTAAGTCAAGGCAAGGCATGTATGCCACCTACTTGCATTGGTAGCCGTGGTAGATGCCGGATGCAGCAAATGCCACGGCGAAGAATACCGGAGCGCCCTTGTTAGGGGCGTAAAAGTAGACGCTACCCTCGACTGAAGGGGTGTCAGGTCACAGGCATTGCTGTTGAAAGGTCAGGCTCCGGATGGTACATACCGAGCTCCCCTGACATGTTCGCGTCTGGTCGTCTGAATGTTTGGGTGGTCTGAGTGGTGCAGCTGATGGTGACCTAATGATGAATATGCTGTCGAGTGCAGCATTCAGGTTGCCGGTGGACGACTTGGTCATCTTGGTTGTGCGTGCTGTCTACCATATTATATCGAGACATCGGCAGCTTTGAACCTCAACCGTATTTCGCATTCCAATTAGCGCTGCCACACTGCCCTGGCCTCAACCGACATGTCGATGTCGCGGCTTTAGGCCTGCAACCAATCGCATTGCACCGTTCCATACGACGGACGCAGGGCCAAGCAGCGAGTGGGCAACCCACACTCAACCACAGCCTGCCGACGACGAGGGAAGGGTCTCGGGATGACTTCATGACTGGCTCGCTCAGGGGCATAAGATCGCCCTTGGAAGAGACGAACAGCACGGAGATCCGGTGATGTTGAGCTGGGTTGGATCAACTTGGCGACGAGCCATTGCGTTCCAGGTTGCGTTGCACCGCCGTGCTCAGACAAGATCGTGATTCGGGAAATGCTGCAGTGGCAAGGCGCTTCTCGATGCTGCAAATTGCGGCGTGTCAATTTCCTGCTGACTGCGAAGTGGACATGAAATGAAAACGGGCCTCAAAGTGGGAAGATTTGAGGTTCTGATAGCCCCACTCATGAAAGTGGGTCCATTGCTCAATTGGACGAGCTCCTTGAGGCTTGAACGAGCAGAGAAAACTATCTCACTTTTCTTCACCCAGAAGTGAAACTGAAGAGGCCGACAGAACTCAACCTCATACGCCATCACCATTCCTCCCAGCGCACACATCCAACATGCCCCCGCCGCAATTGTCCGATCAACAGGTGGCCGCCGAGTTTACGTCGTACTACCTGCAACGCGCGACGAAAGAATTTGCCGAGGACCTCGACAAGGTGCGCTCTGCCGACGACTTCAAGAACGATGCCCTCCAGATCCTCGTGAGCGCATTACAGCAGGGCACCGCCATGTTTTTCCCTGAGGAGCAGAGAAGGATCGTCACGGCCGCGGCTGGTCCGGTCGACAAGTCTTGAGCTTGAGTTTTGGACTCTGAGTTTCTGTTTTGGTCTCGAACCGTGCGGATCACGAGAAGCGTGACTTTGCGCATAGGTTGACGGGCAGCATTGGGAAGTGGTTCCAGTCATTATTAGGCATGCGAGACCTCGTCGGTGAAGCGGGCAAGCGCGAAGCGGGAATCAAAGTCTCCAGCAGTTCGCCGATAATTAATAAAACGAATGGATCCCAGGATCGTGTAGATCGCAGCCACGATTTGTAAAGATTCCCCCGACATGTATAAGATGGAACCCGCCGTAGTTAGCAGAATTCATCTTACGGAGTCTAACCCACAACTGGCCGTCTGTTCAAGCCCTCGGGTGCGAGTGTCTACTCCAAAGTCAGCGCCATCGTCTCATCCAAAACTACATCCAGCCCGGTGCTAAAAGTTACACTGCAAGGCAAGTTTCTTTTCTTCGGAACAGGAAACTCACTCCGATGTCTATTCTTCCCATTGACACTACTAGGTAATCACCTCGGTCGCCCCCTGCTTGACACCAGGACCAACTCTCTGTCTGACACAGCCACAACCCTCTCAACCCCCTGCGCCCACGGGAACAGGAACCGAAATACGATCTTGACCTCGAGCAAACAGTTCGTGGGCCCGGGGCGCGCCGTGCCGCTCACGGGCACGGCCAGGTACACGCCGACCGCAGCCGAAGACGGCGACGGCGTCGAAAGTTGAGGCCCGTCCAATCCCACACGAGAAAGGCCGCCTGGCTACCATCTGAAGCTTAAGTGAGCATCAATTGTGATAGCTTCTCTTTGGTTCTGCTGGAATTGATTGGGCTGCTTACTGGGCCGTTTATCGATCCACTGCCAACTGGTACTGCTTCTCAACTTCTCACACAGACTACCTTACTGCGGAGGGGTACCTTGACTCACAAAGATGAACGTCAGCTAACGAGAGTCGAATAATAAGATCGCAAAGCATCCAGGTATCCGCTATGATTTAGTGTATAGGGGATGTCGCGAACCATGCCCGTTAGCAGATGTGCCACCCTTCAGCACTGGAGGCTCTTACATTTTCGTAGGTTGACCGCCATTGCCACTATATTTATGATGTTCGTGTCATTCACGGGCTTTACTTGAGTATTTCAGATGACGCAGGACAAGGTATGGCATACGGGAAACCAGCAGGCCCAAACATCTGGACGCGGTCAACGACGGCCACAAGGTTCACTATCCATTCACATAGTTGATTACTCAAATAGGGTGACACACTCAGCCACCCTGACTCATAATTTCTGATGGTGCTTGTGGAATGAGCACATGTGAGTTATCATTCAGTGCGCTGACTGATGTGGTGGAATCAGAAGAGAATGATGAAAGAAAAAAACATATTCGACAGCTACAGGATTCGAACCTGTGCGGGCGAACCCAACAGATAACTGAATTGAGTAATTCAAGTCTGTCGCTATAACCACTCAGCCAAGCTGCCGTTCGTGCCTTCTTATATAAACAAAATCTTGTTTTCAAGCATCTTAGATTGCGTTCATCGTCTTCACGGTCCCGCACCGGCGCCGCAATGCAACGACCAACCGGCTACTTTAGTTTGTTCCTTTTCTTCTGCACAATCTACCGTCTGGCTTCACCTGTCAATCCGTTCATGGGCATGTCGTAACTAATATTCAGGCATGTCATCCTCGAAAGGGCCATCCTCACCCTCTGCGACCCTCACCCCCTGTCCACTAATTAATTAACGCCGGCAGAACCCTTTATATGCTTGCAAAGGGTCGAGGTATTGACGGCAGACGAAAGGAGGTACTCGATAAAAGAAGAGAGATCATAGTCAGAAGAAAGAGAATTGGGAAATATCGTGAGCTGGTTTCGTCTACTCCATAGCCCTACCCTTAGATGAATGCACAGCCCTGTATCCTCCGTCCTTGATGTCAACTATTACTCACCTACCCGCTCCCGCAATTCTCTGCCCACCCATACTTTCACATTGAGCAGTGATTTCGACTGCAGTCCTTCTGTAAGGTAGCCTCGCTCTCAAAGGCATCAAGATCAAGCAGGTGCCCCGCCCCACGAGGAAAAATAACGTTCACAAGAGATGCCAGAGGGAAGGCTGCAGATAACCTTCATCCCTTTCCACTATCCCTATCCTTTCAAGTTCCCCAGCCGACACACACATGACTCCGATGCATCATAATAAACATACCCGAGCAGTTTCCTTTTATCTATGCGCCTCAAACAAGTCACTGCTTCCCCTCAAACCAACCACCGACCCCTCACTCATCCTCCTCCTCCTCCTCCTCCTCCCCACTACTCTCCTCCTCATCAGCATTCTCCAACCACTCCACCAAAACCCGACACTTCTCCCTCAGCGCGCCCATCCTCTCGCTCTCCCCGGCCCTCTGATCCGCCCACCATGCCAGGATCCCCTCCTCCTCGAGCACGTCCCGGTTATACAGCTGCTGCAGCAGCGCCGCGAGCAGCGCCCCCGCCCGGCCCGCCTCGAGAGGGTCCTCCTCCTTCTTCTCGCCCAGCAGCAGCACCAGCGCCCTCTGCAGGGCCAGCGCAAACTCGGCCTGCTGCGCGACGCCGTCGCCCCCGACGCCGACCTCTTTCACGAACTTGACGGCGCCCTTCTTGGACGTCAGGGCCTCGGCGGCGGCCCGGGTGGGCTCCAGGGCGCCGTGCCCGGGCCCGGGCCTCGTCAGCTCGGCGGCGCGGCGGGCGAACGCGACGGCGATGGCGCGGCGCATGGCGCTGTCGGACGCGTTGTTGGCCAGGCGCAGGCCCATGAACTCGAGTTTGGCCGAGTCAAAGTCGGTGCTGTCGTCGGCGCGGAGGGCGTCGACGAGGCCGTGGACGGCGTCGGTGTGGAAGTCGCCGTCGGGCTTGGAGCCGCTCTCGTCCGAGGCGAACGACGACAGGCGGTCGCGCGCCTTGCTGTTGAAGTAGTCGCCCGCTTGCGCCGAGCCGGCGAGCGAGATGTTGTCATTGTCGGTGTCGTAGTCGTCTTGTTCCGAGGCGAGGGTGGAGATGGACGAGGTGGACAGGTTGAGGCCTTCGAGCGAGTAGATGAGCGAGCTCTGGAGGATGGCGGGATCTCTATTCGCGCCGTCCTCGTTGTCGGAGTCCTCCTCGTCCGCGGCGACCTCGTACAGCGCGCCCGTGCCGCCTGGGCCGACTAGTGAGGCATCTGTGGGGGCGAGCTGACCATCGTCGGTCAGAAGCGATATTCGTGCCGGAGGTTTGGATGGCAACTGGATGCCGCTGTCGATGTGTACGTTGTATGAAATGAGCGAGCCCTCGGGGATCCGGCAATGCGCGCCAACCACGACCGAACCTGCCAGTACCGAGTGCACTACAGAGGCACCATCTCCTATTACCGCATCGTTCCAGATGTAGCTGTTCTCGATCCTGACGTTCTTCCCAACCTTGCACCGCCTCCCGATGATGCTCCCGGAAATGACGCTTCCCGCCTTGATGGTGGTTCCCCGTCCGACCACGGACTGGGTGACCTTGGCCCCCCTCTCGGAGTGGGCGTGGTCCTCGACGTAGTTGCCGTCTTTTACTCTCTTGTATGTCTGGCCGTGCATTAGGTTGCTGTCTGGCACGAAAGGAAGGGTCCACCGCTCGAGCACATCCCGGCTGATGCAGTCGTACATCTGGAGGCTGGTGGCTCGCGCCGCATAACCGTCCTCTAGGATCTCAGCGTACAGCAGCTTCCCGTTCAACTCCCAGTCCTTCAGCACGCCGTGCAGGAAGTTTTTCCTCGGAAGCTCGTAGTCGAAGCTCTCGGACCACAGCGCCAGAACATCAGGGGTGCAGATGTCGATGCCGCAGTCGACCAGGTCGGTGCGGACCTCGAACTCGCCGTGAGCGAACACGGCGGGGTCCAGGTCGAGGTAGTGTTCGCTCTGGAGCGGGTGCATCTCCTCGTACTGCAGGCATCGCCCGGTTGTTGGGTCGACGACAAAGACGGGTGTGATTCCTCGGGCCTTCGCTGCCCGGTGTGGCTGGTCCCCGACGGAGCGCACGACCACGGTCATGCATGCGTCGCGGTTTGCCTCCCTCCTCGCGCGGTGCTTTGCCAGAGCAGCGTCCAGCTGGATGTTGGAGACCAGGTCGCCATGGACGAGAACGAAGTCGCCCGTGATGATGCCCCGCTTGTCCAGGTCCCGGAGGAAATCGCCAATCGAGTGCGCATCTGAGACGCGGATGAATTCGAGCGAGGAGAACGGGGAGATGGCGCTGGCGGGGCTCCACCGCGTCGACTCGTGGATATAGCGCTCGATGTTCTCGGAGTGTGCGCCGCAGTAGATGAAGACCTCTTGGACGCCGTTGGATGCGAGGAACTCGAGGGTGTATTCGATCACCGGGTTGTTAACCAGGGGAAGGAGGCACTAGGAGGGCTATGGGTCAGCAATGGTGCGTAATTGACCCGACACATCGTGGCTTTTAACTTGTAGGGAGCCGAGACATACTCTTGGGGTCTCTAGTGTGAAGGGCCTGAACCTATCCTGGAACGAGTCGGCCAGGATCACAGCCTGGAAAATATCTTCGCTCTTCTCGTCGGCGCCGGCCTTGGCAGGCTTCTTCGCCTTGCCCGCGGCAGCCCTGCCCCTTCCTTGCTTGGACATTGAATGGCGTTGCGGTCAAACACAGCTTCAGTTTCAGGTACTGCGCGGTACAGAATTGAGAGAGGTTGCCGAAGAGAGCTACGGTAATCGGGGTGCAAAATGAGAAGCATGAAAAACGACACCAATTGTGTGAGTCAACTGCGACCAATGCGTCTTTCAAGCTTCAATGTGGGGTGCGGGGTCACAGCAAGGCTGAGAGGCGAGGCGCGGGCGCGAAACGGATGCCCCGGTTGCATCATAGCGGCTTTTGTCGCGAGGTTGTCAAAGCTGCAGCGACACTTTGGTGTTTCGTACACCAACATGTCTCGTCGCCAGATGCCCATTGCGTTCGGGTCAGGCTAGGGACGATGACACCGCATCACAGCATTTTCACCAAATATTCGATAACAGGGAGGACCTAGGTACGTCATCAGAGACTTGCCGAGACTTGCTTGTCGAGTCCTCTTCGAGTCGGCAAGCGACCACTTCCCCAGGCCATGACATGTCTTTGTATCATAGTATCAAAATCGCAGCCTTGTCGGTAGTTCTTGTGAGTTGGACGTCCTGCCCCCTCAGCATTGTGTTGGATGGATTCGGGGTTGAGGACGGATAAACTCCGGCTGCAGCCTGCCAAGCCCAGGTAGAACTGGAGGCCCACTCTGAGTCTCGCCAATCAGGCATATCAGGCCATTGCATGCAGCGTGCCGTTCTGGACGAGCCGAACCCACGCTCCGAGATTGTCAAGACCCGGCCAGACCATTCCTGGCGTGACAACAGCGCACCACAACTTGTTCCCTCCTTCCGCATCTGTCGATCTGGACCAACCCAACTTCCATTCTGGTGAGAGGGAGAGCCAGCAGGTCAAACAGGACTGGAGGAAAATGAGGACGGATGCCGATGACAACACGCGCACACTCAGCCAGTCCCGCAGCATGCCTCTCTAAAAAGAAGAGGACAAGACATCGTGCATCATGCGTGTACGGAAATCTGTACCTACAATACGTCAAGGCGCATTCCGGTATTGACAGTACAGTAGCGTTATGAGGCGCCTTGACACCAACGACCTCAGGCCTCGTAACAGATCAGGACAAAGTTACACACCTCCCATTCCTCACTCCGCCGAAACCGATCAAGGCTTCAGATGAACCAGCCCGGCCCAGCCCGGCCGAGCCCCAGCGCCGAGCTGTTCCAGAACATGACAGGCCCCTTGGATACGAGAGACACTGCAGCTGACGAATCGACGATCAGCGCGGTATGCAGGGACCGACAAGGCTTGTCTGAGGTTTTGCCGCGGGTTTCTCTGGGGAGAAAAGTCTATGTACAAATACAATACATACGGGACCGGGCTGGGACCTGCCCATGGGACGAACGTCGTAAATGTTACCGTGGTTACGCGGCTGACGAGACGAAACACACCGGTTAGCTGACGACCAAGGAGAGTGCGACGAGCAGCAGCCTGGCGATAACCTGCCTTATTACCCACGAAGTCTGCTTCACACCATCGCTTTGGAAGTACGCATGGGGCTGGGGCGCTTGTGCCCGAATCGCCAGCAAGTCAACTGGCCACTCTTATTAGGTCGGAGACTCACCGTCTGGGGTCGCCAAAGATCAAGAACTAGCAAAGCTGTTGGCGGGCGCTTGCATGTCCGTCCGTTTGTTGTTAGATGCCGCCTCTTCCTCCGTGTCTCACCCCGACAGCTGTCCCCTGCCCGTTTGGTACCTTAGCTTCGCTGCCTTCCGCCCTTCCCGCAGGGCTAGGCCGGGCCCAGGTCAGGCCAGGCCAGGTCCGGGGAGGGGTGGCTGTGAAACGGCGATGGTCGTCCCATCAAGATAGAGACAGGGTCTGATACATATCCCCGTCGTCGGC